TCATCTTTCTCCCGCGGAGCGGCTGGTAGTTTCGAACCGCTGACCTTAAGGTTCGCAGCCCGATTCGTAACCACTACGCTACCAGAGCTCCTTTTTTAGCTGATGCTATTTGAGACCTCTGTGGGTGAGAGCTTGATGTTCATTTGCTTAGGAAGCCTGGCTCACCACTCCTCCCCACCTCAACCCTACATCTTTATCAAAGCACTCAGGTGTTCCACCATTGTGGTGTAACACAAAGAACATGGCGGTCTTAAAGTAAGATATAGACATGGTGTAAGGATGGAGATGTGCTGCCCAGAGCCCCTCCCAGAAAGGACTCGTTGGCTCTTCTCTGGGAGTGCTGTGAGCATCAGACCCTTTAGGGTCTGCCTGGGCTGCAGAGAGCTGCCTCACCCAAAGCCACATCCCCTGATTGATGAAGGCAGCTGGATAAAAGCCCAGCCATTTGACCCAGTACCAGGCAACTCTGATGCCGCCTTCCCTCAAGTCTCCCTACACCCTTCAGAGCCTACAGCCTAGAAAGTTCAACTTGTAACTCATGAATTTAATTACACATCAACTATTTAGGAGCTCTGTGACCTTGGGGAAGAAATTACTTATGTTCTTTAAGACGTTCTTTTCTTACTGAAAGGTAGGAATAACTGTAACCTCTTTGTAGGACTGTCATGAGATCACTTAACCCGATGCAAAGTAATCACTCATAAATATTGTTGCTGTCAATTGCTGCCATGTCCAACTCATGGCAACCCTATATAGGGTTTCCAAGAAGTGGCTGGTTGGGTTTGAACCACCAACCTTGAGGTTCAAACTGACCTTGAGGTCCAGTGTTTATCCTATAGCTCTACATTTTGGACAAGTTATATAATTTCTGTGAACCTTACTTTCTTCATCTAAATATGAGACTAAGAGTACTTACCTCTTAAGATTATTATATGACATAAGGCGTGGGTGTGTGCTAACTACTTAATAAATGTTTTCTTTCCTGATTTCCTTTGAAATATCAATGGTACATTTGTTGTTGTTGTGAGGTGCCCTTGAGTCTGTCCCAACTCACAGCAACATTGCCAGTCCTGTGCCATCCTCACAGTTGTTAATATGCATTGTTGCAACCACTGTGTCTTTCCAGCTCCTAGAGTGTCTTCCTCTTTTTCATTTCCTCTACTTGTCCATCAGAGACTGGTTTCTCCTGATAAATGTTCAAACTACATGAGACAAAATCTTGCCATACGTGCTTCTAAGGAGCTTTATTTCTTCCAAGGCAGATCTCTTTGTTCTTCTGGAAGTCCCCGGTGTATTCAATATTCTTTACCAGCATCATAATTCAAAGACATCAATTATCCTTTAGTCTTTCTCATTCATTGGCCAGTTTTTGTGTGTATATGAGGTGATTGAAAATACCATGGCTTAGTTCAGAAAAACC